CCCCCCCCCCCTCAATAATTCAAGATTTCTTCTCTGAGTTCAAAAAAATATCGTTTCTAAAGCGAAAAAAAAGCAAAATTTGAATCTCAATCAAAAAAAACAAATTTAAAAATTTTCTGAGAAAAACATATTTAACTTTCCTCCCCAATGATTTTTTGGAAAAATTAAAATTTTAAACAAAAAATTAAATTTTGATTAGAAATTTAACAAATTTTAACAAATATGACAAATTCAAATTTTAAAAAAATTTTAATTAACAAATTTTAATTAACAAATTAGCGAAAATTAAAACTTTCATCCGTAAAAACACTTATTCGGAAAAGAAAACATTAGAAAGATGTGCGAATTTCTCATAAAACAGAACACGTACTTGTGCTCTAGAATTATTCAACGAAATGGAAAGATATAAGGATTTCAACAAAAACGGTTCGGCAGAAAATGTGCAAATTTTTTATTAACTATGGCAAGTTTTTGACGAAATCCTAATTTTTACTTTGTCAAAATCAAAATTCTGATTTTCGGTTTTTCATAAAATCAACATTCTTGACAAAACTCAAGCATTCAGCGACAAATCGGCGTACAAAAATCAAGATAACTGAAGTAACCTGTTATAAATCTTAACTGTAACAAATGATAACTGCAAAATTTCAGTATACCAAGAATACCTAAGGCCGTTCGGGAGTCAGCCATTGTGAATATATCACATTAGTAATGTTACTGGGATGTTCGCGCTTATCGGGAGTGGCTGTGACGGACCCCTCGATTTTGGGCTGCATAATTCCTAGTTAGTATTCATCACAATGATATACAAGAATTTGATGCTTTAAAAAAAAAAATCGAAAAAAAGGGTAAATAAGGACGAAATTCGTAAAAAAAAGGTTGAAGTAAAAGTGATAAATCTAAGCAGGAATGTTTCAGTCCACTAAGTCGCATACATTCCTGTTTAGTATCACAATTGGACTTCGTCAGTACGGCGACTGTGATATAACAAATATATTTAATAAAAAGAAAAAAAGAAAAATAGACTGGAAATAAAAACTAAAAGTGTACCAAATTCGATGCATGAATATTGAACAATAAGAAAATAGCCGCATAATTTAAAAGTCATTTTACGTCTCTTTATAACGAAAATCATCACTTTTACAATAACGAGGTGTACTACGAATTAATCGGATAGGATTTTTTAAGGGCACTGGTCTCTGGTTCATTTGAAATCGTGGCTTAGTAGGAAATCCTGGGATTTTTTGAGGGTAGCAGCAGAGGCGAACGGATTTCACTCGTTCCCCTCCTAATTGCTGCACTGGCCACGGCTGTTGAAACAGGCAATCAGTCCACTCTGAGGCAATAAATTTTTGGTCAAAATTCGAAAAGGATCCGCCAGGAAATCCACCCCTTCCCTCTTCCTCTTCGTTCCTCCTTCCTTCCCCCATCCGCTAAGCTAACAGCTGGCGACGGTGGCGGTGGCGGTGCAATCCGCGCGAATTGTATCGCACACCACACGAATTCACAATCTTTGTTGCATATTCAACAGCCAAACGATTATTGAAAACCCCAGGATTCCCTCTCTCCCTCTGTCTCTCTCCCTCTCCCTCAATGTGTCCCTCACTCTCTTCCGATCCCCTCACCAATCACTTCCTTCGAATAAAAAAAAAGATCATTTTAAATCAAATTATTTTGCACCTCACATCACTGAGTTAGTGATACTTCACAGAGAAACATTAGCGGTATTCACAAATCAGTTGTAGAATAACTCATAATTAATAGAAAGGTATTTTGAAGTAGGAAGAAGAGAAAATAATATTAAAAAATTAGTAAAAATAGTAAAATTGTTTTAATAAAATTATTATAATGGTAAGAAATGTTTCGGTGCATTAAGTCGTATATATTCTTAACCATCCCTCCCCCCTCCCCTTTCTCCCCATAATAAAAGAAAGGTATTTTAAAGTAGGAAAAAGAATAAAAGAGAAAATAATATTAAGAAATTAGTAAAAATAGTAAAATTACTTTAATAAAAATTATTATAATGGTAAGAAATGTTTCGGTCCATTAAGTCGTATACATTCTTTATTCCCCCCCCC